GGGTGGGGGGTGGGGGGAGAGAGCGAAATACAAAGGAGCCTACCAGTTTCCGAGGGCGGCTTCTTGTCCTCCTGTCGAAAATGCGAGCTCGGGCTGGGAGATCGCAACCATCTCAGCCGACTCGACCTATTCAAACTCCCACCGATCACAGCTGTGCACGCAGACAATACAATAAATAGCTACTTTAGGAACTTGTTATGGTTGTATGAATTACACTTCTGCATCTGTTAGTGGTCAAGTTGGATGCAAACAACATCATGCCTGCCCAGCGGTTAATGTATTTACACACATGCGTCGTCAAGGTAGTGGAGTTTAACAAAATCCAGCCAACCAACAAATTAAAGGCAAATAAACACATTTTATAGTAGACATATATTTACTGGCCTACTCCACAGAAGAAAAAGAAATAAAGCCATGCAGGAGAGTAAACGCGATTAAAGAGGAGAGGAGCCATGCGCGCTTGCGTCTCTGTTGTTTACCAGAATCATAGAGAGGCATAAACTCTCGCCCAAACGATGGACTAGGCGATCTGAGCCAACGCAAACGTCCGCTTCGCATGAAACCCACTGTTAGGGAGAACATGGTACATTTCAACAACAACAACAACAGCAAAAAAATCTCCTCACTCTCATTCATGTACATATAACCCAGTCTTATGGCTCTTTTTCTCCAAATATTCCCCCCCCCCCACACNCCCCCACCCCAATTTCTTGTGCGTGAATGGGAAATGAGGCTGTGTGCAAAAAGCTTGCATACTTTCGAGATGGTTATGTTAATTGGTTATTGAAATAATGAAACAAAAAAACGTTAAAATGTGGGAATGTGTGTGTGTGCTAATGAGAAGGAGACCCCGAGAAAGCTGTGTGGTGTGATTTTACCACAGTGAGCTTTGTAATTTATATATATGCCCTTCGGTGTTTAAATCCGTGATCATTTCGGCTTGAAACTGAGGGTTAAAAGAGCGGATCCATGTAAAATCTAAATCTAATATGAGAAGTAACGGGTAACAGTAACAGAGTTAGCTATACTAGGAACCGTGATTGTGGTAACGACTTTGCGTATCTAAATCTAAAGGTTAGAAGAGTTAGCCTTAGTGTTGCTTTAAACTCCAAGCTTTGATTAGTTGAGGACTTACCACTATTCTTCCCTAATATTAAGACAAAGTAATTAAATAATCCACTTAACTAGATAAATAGATTAGTATTCAATTAGATTATTCAAAGACGGGAACAAGCAGTTGGAGTAATAAATGCAGACACTCGTGTTAAATTCATTAAAAATATACGCTATACAAGTAGGTCGCTCTCACTGACTCAAATCAAGTATAAAGGCTAGAAGACATTCGTTCGAACAACACCTGGATCACGAACCACTGACGAATCGATAATTATGATTTTGAGACCGCGTACTTTTCAGTAATAGAAAAAAAAACAAAGGACATGAAGACCACTTATGAGAGTTCAGTCGTCTAGTCCTGAATCAACAATGCATTTCGTGGGCATTGAGTCACGTTTGCTGGTGTCCAAGCTTGGTGTGTTAGGGCGATGATGTTACTTCACAGAGGAGTGATAAAGTAAGTAATTCCCAAAATATAGAGATTAAGAGGAATTCAAGGAGTTTTCCACCTGCGCACAAAAAAAGATGCTATAAGACGCGTTCACTATGCGGTGCAGATGGGTTTGCAGTGCGAACGTCTGCCAAATTTGAAGTCACCGTCTCCCTACTCATCAGCTCACGTCCAGTGGTAGGAATGACCCCGTATTGGCTAATAACTGTGACAAGTAAGTGGAGGTAGTGCGAAACCGTGGGTTTCTCCATGGCGAGTATCAATGAGTATTTGAAAATGCCTTCATTAGGACTTACTTAATGAACTTGGCAACTATAATTCCTTGAAATGATGAAAAATAAGATCTCAATAAAATGGGGGTAAAAAATGGTCTCTACATTTCACGAGGAATTGAGACAAGAAACGGCTTTTCCCCATCTTAGATCTGAAATATGCTCTTTAATGCAATATCTCACCTTCAAGTTCGACGCTCATCCTGAAGCTTTTCAGAGGAGGAAGTGATATTCCAGCAATCTTCATTTTGCAAACATCATACCAGTAATTATTATTTACTATGGAACTTGTACCCAGGTATCCAGATCGGTATGCCAATGACACATTGATAAAATATTTGCCCAAATTAATAAACAAAGAAGAATATTGACTAATGGTTACATTAGTTGTGTTAAAGTATACAACAAATCCACGAAAGAGATTCGCATTACAAAGACACTACAAGAGTACACTTTGACCAGCAAATGCACTTTTGGCGGAATCAATTTGAAAATGGCACCGGCTATACCGTTGCCAAAAATAAGAGGCACACTTAAGGTAATCTGAGGAATTAATATAAAACGAAAAGAACTAAAAAATGATAAACAACGATTGGAGACGTGTCTGTTTGAGACAAAGTCTAAGCTCAATGTGTGGAATAACTAACTATAACAGTACGTCTTAAATGCGTTGTGAGGAATGTTTCGCTTTAACTATCTTGGAAAATGATTACTAAGTCGTGCAACCCTACCACATCAAATTACACAGTTTCAAGACTCATCCAATGATTGAAGATCTCAACCAATAGGGGAGAAATAGGTTCCCATTTTCTCAATTAGGAAGGATGGCCAATTGCGGTGAGTATCTCGAGCCAGAAAGAGGTGAACAGGATGCCCTCTATACATCCCAATCAAATTTTGTTAACACTTCATTAGTCAATCGAGGGAAAGCCTCTAAATGTCAGCTTTTTAAGTCCAGTTAGGTGTCGAAAAGAACTACCATCCACACTTTGCTCAGAAATTATAAAACATAAATAAAGTTAAAGGAACGAACCTGAAATTATAGATCGATGCCTGACAACAAATCGGAGGTGAGCGGAGGTGGGGGATTTTCGAGAAAATATTCCAGAATCTCCCGATGATCGTTGAGATGAGGAGGAAGACACTGTAGGTTCAATATGATCTTCTGTCACTGAAGAACTATCCATTATATTGGCCAATCGGGAAAATGGATCATGAGGAGAGGTGAGACTTGGATAATCCATGGACCAGGGGATGGCAATGCGAATCAACTCATTCCACCGTGGTTGACTTCGGGATGCAGATATACTCGAGACGTAAGGAGTTTCACCTGCTCCCTCTATCCACGGAAACTAAAGAAAAGTTCGACCAACTTAGAGGAAGCTTAAAGCACATATTCTTGTCAATAGGTAAAGGATATTATATATTTATAAATGATTCTGAAATAAAAGAGAACCTAAATAAGCCTGAACTATTCTAATTAGGGAATGTAATACTGATTATAAGTAATAGAATAGGGAATATAATCTAAGATGACAGTCCTTTAGAGAATTAACTTCACATAACTTCGTGATTCATACTGTGAATGAGCCTAGGAATTTTTCCACACTTCTTAATTACCACGCCAGTAAACAATAATGGTAGCTCTCAAATTATAAATCTTCTCGAAATACACAAGACTGTAATGATTGGACTCGAATCGGAAAAGATAATAATATTAAAACAAACAGGGAATAAAGTTGCTAAACATGACGAGGAGCAGATAATCACTAAGATAAAGTTAAATCGACATAGCAAAAAAAATAGAAGACGCAAATTAGCGGACTTTCTAAGCTATGAGTTAGCAACATATTTCATTGAAAAGTGGTCTATTTTGCTCCAGTAGCGTCTAAGCACTAATGCACCCGGTAGAGGGTTTGCTGTACAAAAATCTCCATTAGTAAGAAATTCTTCTTAAAATAGACACTTGTCAACTTTCCTCCCGTTAATAAAATGATGTGCAGGAATGAGGTACAATAAGTACCAGCGGACTTTCCTACAATGATGCTATTTGATCATTTCTCCACCTCGCAAGTATTTCAACTGGCTTTCCGACTAAGTGATGAATCAATAGAGATATGCGTTTCGTTAATTTAAATCTGATAGAATAAGTTGACAACTGTGATGTGAATTTTACTACAAGATTGTTCAATAAATAGGGTCTGGAAAGAAATTTTAAGCTAGAATTTCGAGGAAAAAAGGGTAATGGAATTTTTTCATTTAATGTAGAATCCTAATCTACTACACCAACATGCATTCAGCGGTTCATTTAAGGTGAGTCGGACAGCTTTCAAGAAATCTTATAAACATCTAAAACCAATATTAACAATCGAATATGAAGTTAATCGACACTAGATCGCAACTCTGCACATAAACGAAAGGCTCAGCTTTTTGCTAGCTGACGTAAACAAAGAAGAAACCTACCGGTCGACCTTGAGGATCGCGAAGACTGATCTCCACTTCCACATTATACTCTTTTCTGCTCGAAGTTTTATCAAATACAGCGGATTTAAGAGTAACGAAAAAGTCATTTCGAATGGTCTCGGTGGTGCTAAAATTGCCCTCAATAATTCCGTAAGGCCGAGATATTAAGCTTCCAGGATAGAATCGTTTAATTAGCTGCAAGGAAAATAATATTGAAATAGACTGGCTATCAAGTCTAATAATGATTGGTAGTTTTTTACATGATACGACTGAAGATCGACCATTTTAATGTCTTTAATTTCGATTTCCAATTCATCTGAAATTTCACCACCCGAATTAGTGGATTGTGAGGAAGGATAAGACGGAGGAAGAACGGAATTGCTTGTCACTTGATCGGTGGATTTGACAACTCCTGTGGAGGGGATAAGATCCCAGACAGAACTTCGTGTTTCGTTAGCAAGTTTGGCCAGAATGTCAGCGTGAGAACTTTCAAGGGAACTAAGCCAGAAACATTGAATGAAAGAACTGGAAATAATCAACTTACCTCCGAAGGGAAACAACCCTAGTAGAAGATGTAAATGAGTTTCGAGACCGTCGATCAAACGACCGGAAGGGGGTGTGAAAAGGGAGAACAGTTGGCAAAACATCTTTGGTTATATCAACACAACCGACAGCTACTGGTCTACGAAGTTTGTCGCAGTCACCAACAGGTAATCGAACATCTGTAGAGACATTTCTTCCTCGTTTAGTCACTGAAGAACCAACTTTATCCACCATAATGACGAGGAGGATCCGCGTATCCGATGGATTGAAAGGCTTTAGTTCCTAGAGGAAAACAGTTAGGAATCAAGAACAAAACAAACAGAGAAAATGACAGACGTCTTATAATCAGAACGAAACCCATCAATGGTGACATTTTCAGAAATCCGACAAAAGTCACTGAAATGCAAGTTAGCGGGAGATACAGAGCCTAAAGCTATTCCATCGTCATTCCCCCGTAAAAATTCAATAAGATGATTGGGGAGATTGATTAAATGATTATCTTGATCTGAACCGTTACCGACGGAATTAGATTCAGGAAGCCGAATTGATTGAGACGCCAAATATAAAGTCACTGCAGCTGAGGGGCAACGGTCAAAATGAACAGAAATATTGAAGAGATCTCTTTTTGGTCTCTATATATAGAACATTAGAGTACAAAATTTCCAAACCTCTCGCTCTTTTGAAACATTTTCACTTTGAAGATACTTATCATATAAATGAACGCTTACAAAACTCAAAGGATTAGGTATACGCATTTGTAATGGGAAGCCAATATATCTAAAAATTGAATTAAATAAAATGGTGTACCTTTCGCATAAGGAGAGAAATTCCAAAACGTCACAATTGTGAAGTTTTGACTCTGATGTGCTAAATGAAAGATTAGATTTACTCTGGCAAATAGCCATCTCCTGTAAATATACGGAAGCTTTCAGAAAAATTCTTCGATCGCCAACCTAAAAAATAGACTTAATAATATACACATACCGAGAATAATTGCTGAGCCATTGGTAGAAAAGACATTATTTCGGCATATAGTTCAGGATCTTCAAAGTCTGACGGTTTTTCTGTACACGCAACAGGAAAAATACCACAAATTCTAGATGCTCCACACTTGAAGCCATAGTACCATTGTGTTGAATCAGATTTATCGTCCGCTTTACTGATTTGATCGACATAAACCCAATCACCCAGAGATAAAGAAAGACTCTTCGGCAGCGAAGGGTCATTGAGTTTACATATAACTAAATATTTATGATATCTTATTTGGCAAAATAAAACATACCTCTTCTCCACTTTACATCATCGGTTACCGGAGACCATATCATCATAAAATTTAAGATGATAAAAAAGGTTAAACAAAAAGGTTTCAAAATGCCCGGAATTTGACCTACAAATTCACCAATCGCTTACGAATTGGAGCTTAACGAAATATATGAGAATAAATACATCTAAAAGTGTACTAAGAGAACTAAATATAATGCCAAAGCTCTTAAATTAATTTATTATTTATTGCATGGAAATATATTAAATTCAATATAAACAATAATGTTTTCAGTAAATAATAAATATAGATTGACAAATCCTTTCGAGAAATAAAATCTGAAGTTACGAAATAGTATTTCACTTTTCTTATGGGGCCTATTTGAGTTGAACTTGGACTGGCAACAGATTTTGCAGATAGCTGGATTGAGGGGATATCGGCTCAAGCCTGGATGACAACTCAATCTGAAGCCATCGAAATCAATCAAATTTCACCTAATTCTTCACTTCAGTCAACCAAAAAATCTCCTGCACCACCTCACTCACAGAACTTCCAATGTGGATGCAAGCGAAGAGGCTTCTTTATAAGACCCAGTCAGTTGTGTTTGGTACATGGAGACTCTTCGGCAAGGCATCCAGCCAGTGCTGTACGTGCAGTGAAGATTATACCTCTATTCGGGAATTCTGAGGGAGAGGAAGAGAATGATGCTGTTCTTTTCACCGATGCACCAAGAGTGGAAGAAGAAATTGAAGAAGAAGAAGAAGAAGAAGAAGAGGGAGATTCTAGAGACATTGGCAAAGGACGTGGTGAATGGTTCTTTATTGATGAATTATGATGATATCCTGCTTCTTTCCCTTCTTGACCCATGTCTTTGCTAAGCATTTCACCTCAACACCCCTCTAATTTCTTCTTCCTTTTCAGTCACCCACATTGTTGGTCACTTTATCAATACGAGAAACTTATTGAGAAACATATTCCTTTCTACATTCTACTGATCAGTGGTGGTATTAGAATTGAATTTTCCTGATTACATCAATCCATTCCATTTCAAATGATCTCTTATTATCTACTTCGTTAAATGGTGAGCTTGGATTCACGCATGCCTATAGCCCTGTCTTGCCATATTACAGTATCACTACATTCACTAAGTTGTCAAACGGTTTTTGAATGTGGCACAAATTACACAAATATGTGTGAAGTGTCAAGTTCCTAGGGCACGTTTGGTGGAGTACTAGACGCATAGCTGAAACAGGTTTCAAATACAAATCGGAATATTTTTTCAATTTTCTTAGTTTATATCAACTTGATGTCTTGATAGGAGTTGCAACTTGTCACACCTCTTAGCTCTCCGCCACATCAAATAGGCTTTATCGATAACCTGAAATTGTACTTAAACATTATTACTGCTTCTAGAAGTCTACCAAGTTCACTGCTGCGTTTCTCAAAATAACTATTCATATGTTTTTGAACTATTGAGAGCTGGCGTTCACGCAGTTACTAAAGATCAATTCCCCTTGACGTCAATAGCAAATGCTGCAAATTTCTATTTCCTACATTTACATGTCTTATCAAAAAAAAGAAGTTTTTTGAACTTACTCACAATAAACTCTTGACATTGTGTCTAAGAAATAACTGAAATACTCCTACTTAAGGAAATACAACACCAAATCATTAAACAATGAAAAGTAAGACTTGTGGGTACTGCTTTAATCCACTTTATTTCATAGAGAAAGGGTAATCATATGTTACTACAAGATGACAGCAATATATTCAAAGAACGGGATAGCTGGCGAGGGATGCGATTCCACACATATTGTGATAATCTCTTGCCATCCAGATGTAGCCCTCATTGCCCCAGTCTGTACCCCAACTGTTCTTCACTATCCAGTACTTCCCTCCTGTCTTATCCTGATCGTAACCAACCACCAGAACTCCATGATCAATTGAATTTGGCGAACAATGGTCATCCTTGTAAATTCCACTTCTAAAACCATTGGAAGTGGAAAAGGGGTTTTTAAATTAATTGATGAGTATTTTGAGGCGAATTTATGAATCTTACTTGTAGAATTGGAAGCTCATAGAACTGGCATCGATACCAACTGAAATAGGACCAATCTGACCAACACTCAGTCTCAACTGACTCTCATCTCCCTTCTTCACTCTCACGAACTTTTTAACCAGAGTGATAGATGCCGACTTGTTGAATTTGCAGGAACCATCCTGAAAATTTCACCAATATTGATTAGTTTCTTAAGCCTTGAAGGAATGAGAAGTTGGAAGTAAACATCACAGAACCAACATGTGCAGTATATGGGTAGTCCTTTTCACTTTCTGCTCCGTTTCTCATCCAATATTGGAAAGCCTGATCCATTAGACCTCCATTGCAACCCTCGTTGCCTTGACTCCTACTGCAGTCAACCAATTGTTGCTCCGAAAAGCTGACCAAATTGCCTTTTTTCTTCTTGTATTGACCCTCCAGAGAACCAGTTGCTGAAAAGGCCCAGCATGAACCACATTGTCCCTAGGAAAACGAAAACACTTCCCAATCTCACACTCATTCATATTACTAACACAGATTTCCAGTCTCAGTACTCACCTGGTCCTTAATATCCGTCACCAAACCCTTCTTTCGCCAATCGATGTAATTCGGAACAGGTGCAAATGGTGACTCGTGCAGTAATTGGACATCCCCCAAGTCCTTCTCAATTGAAGTTTCTTGCACACTGAGGTAGGTGTCAGCAAACTCTTTCAAGGTGAGATCGGCGAAGCTATTTAACCCAACGTAGTAGCTTACTTCTCCACTGAAATAGCGTCTATTGTGCCAGAGGATAAATTGAAGATTATTATAAAATATTCTCATTCGTAACTTCTCTTCCCTCGGTGAGGAGTAAGACCTCTTGTACACTTGTTTCCAGGAATTCCAAGTGCCATGGTAGAATGGCCTGATGGCCTCTGCTGATAGAACAAGCAGAACAGAGAGAAGAAGAGTCGACGTGATAAGTCGCATTGTCCCGATGAATGGTAGATGTCTGGCGAAGTTAATTTATACCCAGTAGCACCTCCACTTAAGATGCAAACGTGGATGAGAAACGAATCATAATCCATCTCAGTCTATCACCTTGCGAAGTTTATTGTAAACTATAAGTCTTTCGCTCACACTACGTGGCTAATCGTATGTGGCGTAATGTAGTAGACTCTAACATCGCATACCATTGTTTGACTTATTTACCATTCATAGACATTGCTATTTATGGTAAACAAGCGGAAGTAACTATCACCAAAGCAGTTTGGATAGAGGTGACTTAGGTTTAGAATATTACATTACCAAAGTTTGCAGTTCCAACATAGTGAGTGAAATTGACAATGTTGTGTAATTTATTAATCAACTATTTTTTATTTGAACGGACGAAAATGATTTTCGAAAGCGTCGGAAGGCCAAGTTGGATGGGAACCAAATCTGGGCGAATGTAATAAGCCGAGAATACATAGGTTATTTTCTTAAAGTTGAAAACAACGGGAGTATGAAAACCGATTACATTGTCATGGTGATTGCCCATGTTTTTGATTTATCGGTTTGCAGCAACAAAAGCGGTTTTTAGAGTAAGCAATCTTTGTGAGAGATGTATAATTATCGAAACGGCATCATATAGGGGTAGAGGAGATAAAAATTAAAAACTTTGGTCCACGTAAAAAAGAAAGTCTTTCTCTCTGTTTTTTATTGACTCCTGGATTTTGTGACCATTTCAACAGACATCCAAAATGCCTCTGGTTTTTCAAATAGCGTTGGATTGTTAAATTTTGTGAAAAAAAATGTTTTTTTGAGAAAACTGACTTTAAAATGCCGCCCGTTGTTTATAGCATGACATTACCACCAATCTTCGCTCAATCTCCGACTGTACCTTCTCTCCTAATGTGCTTCCTACTACAATTCCAGTTAAGGCAGTCCGTTTTGATACAAAGTTACATCCATTAGTAAGATAGTAAGGAGACTCGCGTACTATGTAGAATCTTCCCCTCCTAAAGTTGTTCCAGCACGACTTGACTCCGAACTAATGAAGAAAATACAACAGTGTGTTCCTAAATCCTACTAGCTGGTTAGCAATTTTTTCGGTAATTTCATTAATCCTAAGTCGGTCTGTAAGACTATGTCTCAAACTATTTTGATCAGTGCCACCGCGTTTGAGCCAAATCCATTCTCTTTCTGCGACCTAAACGATCGAATTGGCGGTTGATAACTGCAAACAATCTAGGAAATTCGGTCATGCTAAATCTATTTCTCAAATTGAACAGTCTCAAAAGTTTATGACAAAAATGCGAGCGAGTCTAAACAAATGACTGAAACCATATGCTCTCAAGCACGAGTTCCTTAATCTCAAACTGTCCTCAGTCTTGCTGGGCCAATTCAAGAATCTCCTTATCTTATCCCAATGAATTCATATTCAAAGTGACCGATAACAAAATGGGTGCCAATGGATCCATAAATGTAATATAGTTTTCTTTTCTCGAAGTTATATTGTCTCAAGGGTCAAGGTGAATAACTCGTTGATGGGTTGATAAGGCGGCTCCTCAAGTCACAAGGAGAGAAGGGAGGGATATCGACTGAACTTTTTTACAGTTTTGGAACCGACGATACTTCGTGTTGGACCACCAACATTTTCTTAACTTTCGAATGAAAAAATGAATAGAACAGAGATATTTCTGAAATTATGAAACCTCCCCAAGCTTTAGAGTCTCGAAATGCCGGAGACTTTGAGACTTCCAACAGGTAGCATTAGAGAAAAGAGTTATGGGAATTCGTGGTAGATTTGAAAATTCGTTGTTCAAAACAGCATTAAAGTTTGTGAAAAAGAACTGTAGTGAATTATTGAAATGCCGTTTTAATTCAAATAATTATATCATATTTAATTTAATATTTTTATTACTTGGGAAACTTTGAAAATTATTTACCGACATTAATTATCCAAGCATAAGGTCATTCCGACTGCATAAATTCTAACATTAAAAACTTGTACATGAAATCATTAGCTAAGAGTGATAAGAATAATTTATATGATAACTGTCCTTCATTTCCACTCATTTAAGAGTCCGTCGGAGTAGTTTAGCTCATTTTAACATTTAAATTTGAAAAATTATTATCAAGTCGATAAATATTAACTTAGAACTAGGAACCATTACAATTCCAAATTAAAAGAAAGTTTAAAATAAAGGGACCAATACATTCCGCAAGTAAACGGTTTAGGCTTCAAGAAAAAACGTTTCTTCTTTCGACATAAATGATACTTCAGGTCTTATAGCCGCGTACGCATTGTGTTGCAATATTGTCATAAAACTCACTTCGTTTGATCATTAATCAAACCTTAGGTAGCCTTTTCTAGACGGGATTTTCATGATGATATTTGATAAAAACATATAACATAAAAGGATAATCATAACTGCTATTTAATCTATAAAAAATTAATAAAATTAATCCGCATCAATGTGCATTATGCAAATTTCTGCTTTTGTGTGATAAAATGCATAAACAGAGTGGCGGGCTTATCTATTCATCGATTAAACGTGCCGAATGGGTAGGCGTCGTCGTTGTCCCAAAGTTGGTATGATTCATGTCCATCAATGTACTATGTAGATTTAGCTCGCCCAGAATGGGGTGAAGATTCAGATGTTGATATGAAGACTGAAAAGCTGCATCAAGATATGCCGAAAAAGTCACTTCATCAACGTTTAAAAAATAAAGAGCGAAAGAAGAAGCTTAAAAAAGGCAAAAGTGACTTCGCTGATCAAATTCGTGAATTGGAACATGCTGAACCTATTCCTGAACCTGTTCTGGAATTTCCGACTTCTCAGCCCTCTTTTGTTCCTTCGTCTGATGTCGCAACACTGGTATCTGGCTTTTTAACTAGGTACTTTTAGTATTGTGTACTTTATTTTTTAGAAAAATGAATTTACAGGAACATACTGAGGGCAATATGTATTTAACTGACTTTTATGCTGTGAACTGCTTTTTATCTGTTCATGCAGCTCCGTTCATAGCAGAAAAGTATGATACTATAATGGAAAAGAATTCCGCAAATAGAAAGGATTGCAAAGCAGTTGCGGCCGTAGACTCCATGCTCCCCTATATATTTACTTCATCTAATTTACTTAAGGGCAATTGGCCCCTACCATCATGGGCGCTAGAATTCGATAGTGCAGAACCAAAACAAAAGCTTGATAAGTTTCAGCGAAAAAATGTGCAAGTTATTAGCAAAATTCAGGATTTCAATTCAAAGTATTTCAAAAGGCAACAAAAACGAACCATTTTACCAAGTATAAGGCAGTTTGAAGCTACACATACCACTGTTCTGGCAGCTGAAGGCCTTCAACAAGTCAGGAGTTTGCTTGAAAGCATTCCCCTTCTTTTGACAATAAAAAGTGATATTACAACATGTTATGACATTATTGATCATGGTGTAAGAGATATTCATTTATTTAATTTTTTTTAGCCCTCGGGAATATGCTTTCAATATCGTACATTGTGCTTAGAAATGCCGAGAGGACAGTCGAAGAATAAGACGTCGATTCTACTCCATGCGCCCCTCGTTCGATGGGTTCAAAGGACAGTTATTCTAGTACCTCCTCCAGTATTGAAAATAGTTAACGAAATCATTTGTGTAGCACCTGTTTCTGACGAACAGCAAGCTGTCAGTTCATATATGATTATCCCATTTGCCTCTATCTATTTTTCATTTAGAAATACGCAGATATCATTCGCGATGCAATTGAAGACTGGGTCTCAAATATTGAGAAGACGGGCCTTAATTCTACAGTCTTGCCGCCTTCGGAGGTAAGTAAGAAAGGCATGAAGATAAGCCAACTTTCTTCAATGACTGGAATGAACCAAATATACTCAGAGCAGTGCTTAAGCGAATGCGATTGGGACTTACAAATTGCGATGCAGGCTTTCAGTCGTCTTCGTGAAGCAGGCATGTTACCGGAAAAAGCTTTCGCTTAAGATGTGATATATTTGTATAGTATTATGTACTTATGTTCTATTCCGAATACCAGTTGTAGAATAATCCTCAAGTCCACTTTATTTTGTCTATTAAATGGTTATCAGCATTGTTTGGCCGCAAATGCGGACTACACTCAGGATGCATGAGTTTGCTAAATTGATCTTATAAGGCCAGCATTTGAAGGATTTCGAATGAAAACGCTACCTTGAGTCCCTTTGTGCTTGCTATTATTACATTAATAAAGCTTTAACGATGGTGATATCAAAAGGGATCGATAAGGTCAGATTACAACGAAGGTTATTACGGAAGTTTATTTTAAAAGTATATTGAGGAATGGCTATATATAAGCGTAACAAATTATGAAAGTAGATAGTTTGCAGTTAAAACTTGTAACCAGCATTCCGTAGTCCCTTTCGAGCCTCTTCAATTTGTTGCTTTAGTTTTTCATCTTCACCCGGACAGTCGTTAAAATTGAAAACACCGAGCATAATACAAGACAAGGATATAATTCCAAAGAAGATGACTACTATAACCGGTGATAGTAAAACGGCCACTTTAACAGATGGAACTGAGGTAAATGGTGAACATAAGGAGCCTAACCAGATTGCGATGAAAAGGATAGCAGTAGAAAACCATGGAACAGCTCTGATCATGTTCGACGTATACGCTGTTCACTTACGTTGTTGAAGGTCAAATAATTGGAGCCGGCTGTCTGAATCGAGAATCAAGTGAAGCAAATAAGAATGCGAGAAATGGAATGCAAAGCTACTGTTTAGATTTTAGTTATTATTAATTACATTTTTATAAAACTTTTTAAATTAGCATTAATTAGTTAATTAAGATTTTTGCTTTTTATAGCAAATATTATCATCGATCGACATAATGAATTACACTCATAATGTGCCCATTTTTCATGAAATATCTTTTAAAATGACAAAATTTGTCTGTTCTATCTAATTTCAACTTAATGTGGGGTCGTGGAAAATCTTTAATCATAAACTACTTTTAGTAAAACGATCCATACCTATGATATTAAGTAAATTATGGTAAATTATGCATCATTATATTTGCTAAGTAAACTAACCAACAAATTTATAATACGTAAGAAAACACCCATCGTTGTTAAGCGAAAGAAAGAGTAAATAACCATTTTTGATATAGTTGTGAGCGATTAATATAAATTTTAAATGTCTAGAAGAATCCGCTCACTCAGGCTGTGACACTACTCCTCGTCTATCCATCTGGTATTCTAATTGAACTGAGCAATGCAATTTAAGTACCAGCCAAACTTTGAGATAGAAATGGACATCAGAAAAGAAGACATTAAACATTTTGCCAAATGAACTGTTAAGATGAGCTTAGTGGCGATCAAGGTACACTGACAACTTAGTTAGTGAACCAAGTTAGGGTTGAGAAACGTTTCATATTCATTATCATATATATAATTAAAGTAAACACTTTTTGAGATAATTGATAATTTACCTAACAGGGATAGACAGACAGTTCAAATTGAAGAAGATAACTTTGCATCTAAAAGATAAGGAATAAGTGACGAAATAAATGTAAGAAATAGTTTGGAATTTTGCTTAATGATTTTCAGTAATATGTGTCATCTAAAGTTAAAGCGAATTTTACTAATACACATTGGAATGTAAAAAAATGAATTTTCGAAATATAAAAAATAATTTTAGTTTGGACCCTTAAAAGAGAACGACTCATAATACACTAGCGATTCAGATCTATCATAATAAATTCTCTGATTGATATATTCTCGCTTCACATCAACCTAAAAGAATACAACGAGTCCAATTGAACACATTAGATATAGGAATATTGCCTTTTTCATGAGAGAACAGTTTGTGAAATTTCAAAATAGATAAGAAATTCAGCTCCAAGCATTCATCAATCTTCATACTCTTACAATACATTAATTTTGATTAAGGTAGTAAGCATATATACTTCTTTAAGGTCTAATACAATGACCTTAACGGTTAACTGTTTTAGCCCCTTATTCTAATGATGAGTGGTTCTAGTAATTCGCTCAATGTTTTTGGTAGAAATGATTTAATTCAACGGAACGTTGCCCTCATCAATGCAGAAGAAAAGAAAGAAGGGAATAATCTCTTATTTTCCCGTGGTAAACGACCTGCGTAAGGTTTTACCTAATTTTTCTCCGTTCGAAGTATTATTTGTGGTCATTAATCTTTCTTTTTAATTCAGGGATGGTTCTGAAGATTTGGAGGAGATAACATTGCAATGCAAACGACCTGCAACGGAAGAAATGGTTTTAAGGCGGCTCTCGAATTTGAACATCTCAAATGTTGACATTGGAAAACCTACTGATGATGCAGATATGTTTACCATCGAGGATTTAAGTGACGATGAATCTAGCAATGAAGTAAATGATGACAAATGGTAATTCTTTACTCTGCGATTTTTCTCTCCGTCTTATTTATTTTGATTAAATATTTTTATTTCTTTTAGTTTCATTCTTCCTGAAGCTTTGAAGAAAGACTATGAATTAATTCAAATTCGAGGTAGTCTTCACAATCCTTTCCTGATGAAATTGTGAGATTTAATTTATCTTTGCTAAAATGCGTTCATTTATTTATTATCTAACTTGAACTCTGATTATAGAGCGTCTTCTTCTCTCATCAATGCTGTTCCCGAAACTTGCCTAGCCCTTGTCCCCTATGTTCCCAGACCTGTTCTTCCTCCTCTTGCATATAAACAGGAAGAAGATATAAAAAATGTAAATGAAGATTGTGGAAATGAAAAATCCGTGGGTGTTGAACCGATGGATTTTGCTCCTGAAAATTTCACTAATTTCAATGTGCTTCCATCAACTGTGTCTCAATCCCTTCCATCCTTTTCGTTTAATTCAGGCTTCTCTTTCGGTCAAATTGATGTGTGAGTTTCATTTTTTGCTAGTTTGATCATTTTTAATCTGTTTTATCTATTTAAAAAAAGATATTAGCATTCTCATTGCCTTTCAAGTCGTAATTTAACCTGACATAACTAGTTGTTTTATTATAAAACATTTTGCTATGAGTTTTGTTTGATGGCTCTTAAATACCATCCTATCTATTAGCCCCTTTTTCTATTCTGCTTTTCACTGGCTTTCAATTTGATAAGCTGCCTCCTGACTTTGTGATATCTTCTGAGAATCACTTCACAGTTTATTTGTTCAGAAAGTAAATATCTATGCATAGTATATCTCATCGTTTCATGACTAAACTTTACAGAAAGTTGAGCTGAATGTGCTCAGACACCATACAATCCCATTGCATACCTGTTGTGAACGAAAATTGATAATTATGTGACCCATCTGATTCATGAAAGGGAAATGCCGGTATCATAATGACTCGCTTCGGGTTATGGCTGGTGCTCAATGTCCCCCGAACACTGAAAAGAATGAGGCTTAAACTGGTGAGCCGCAATGGTGAATACTAAGTTGGTAGTTAATACCTAGATAGCATGAAGATTTGGTTTCCAAGCTCTCCACATCTTAACCCAGTGGAAAATTATGTTTACATTGGGTGCTGTGGATGAAAACACTAGTTGACGTTCCCGTTCTACAAAAGCCAACCAATTATTTGGCAGGATGAAAAGAGTTATTTTTGGTCCCTTCCAAGTGAGTGTAAAATCAGCCTCCTCCAGGTTCCATTGTCGGAGTGTAGCTTGATTGATACCCACCAGGCTCAAATTGCTGATATTTTGAGTAAAACCTTGGTAGCATTGAAATTTCTTCGCCTATTGACTTTCTTCCAGCTTTTTCTAAGTTTGCAGTTACCGACCGCTTTTCTTTTTTTTGGTGGTGAGACTGTCGAATATATCCCAACACTGTATCTATTTTCTTTTATGACGATCCACTTTTGCTAAGAAACTATCGCAATCGGTGATTTGTCATATTTTCATTTACAAATCGAAATGTTTCTTATATCCTCCGACTTCTTTCCCCAAATAATTAATATGTTTATAATCACTTCTCGCACGTATTGAAGGACCGTGGGTTGAGAAGAGATCAGAACTTCCCAAGTCCATAAAAATTAGGAGTCTTTTGAAGTTTCCGTTATTAAAAATTCACAGTCCACCACCCATTTGATCGACAGGAATTTATCATCACAATTGGCTTTCCGCATCATTGGTTGCTTGCCACTGTGTCGCGATCTAGATTAAAGACACTTAGTGCCCTTGGAAATTCCTCCTTTTACGAGCTGTTTATTAGCATGATGTGAAACAGACTACCCATAATCACAATCTTTTCTACTACATATTCAAGTACTCGCCCGTCTTCTAACTCTGGGTAGGTTGGGGCTAACAGGTTTGGCTAATTTATGCTGTGAATATCCAGTCTACTTAAAGGAAGTCCTAATTGTGTTCAGCAACAATCTCATTAGGGTGAACTTCTTCCCTATTTATTTTCAAATTGTGTTGCTCTACCTATCATTTTGTCCCCAAGGTGAGTCTCTTAAATTGCGAGCAAGTGGTTACTCAAGTTACCCTAGTGTCAGCGCAGGTGCAAAGTATTGATAAATCAGTAATAAAGATGCCGATAATTAATGCATTCAGTCTAAGTAGAGGCAAAAGTAGACTTGAATGCAAAGTTAAATTTCAAGGGGTTTTTAATGACTTCAATCTCAATAGTTTCGTAATCATTAAGTGTGCTATTTGTTGTTCGTACTTCTTTAATGAATTGAGAAAGTTCTTACTTTTTTAATCATCTTATTCAAGCCAACTTGGAAATGTATTTAGTAAAAGGTGCAACCACAGTATAGGTATTACTGAGTTGTGCTATTTGATCTCTTTTTGGATTGCTCTGATCCGTGTTAAATAGTTATCGTAGTGTTATTACTATTGATCGGGCTTTTTCCATATTGTGCCTTCTTTTATATCCCTTGTTCGTATTGAGTAAGCCTTAATTGACTTATCTATTTAAATCTAACCAATTTTTTTTAGTTCTACCCAGCCGAAGTTTGTGAACGAGGGAATAAATCGACCGGAGCAGTTTTTTCATTTCAGCCGATGAGTTCTATTGAATTTGTGCGTGTACATATTAAGATTTGGGATTTTATATAAAATTTTTTTATACTATACATTTTTTGTTTCTATTTCGTGGATGATATTTGCTCTATGGGGGGTCATTGTTTAAGAAAATCCATTTTTGCAAGGTTTGGGAGTTTTCGGTGACCCGATCACTCAGCCATTTTGATTTGTTTATGCACGCTCTTTAGAGAAGGAAGTATTCAAGAGTTTGTTCCTTTTCACACCAGGCTTGCAAACTTTTGAATATGAAGATACCAGCTCTGGGGAAGACAGGTTGATCAGGTCCCTAGCTATTATGCAGTTTCTTGCTTTTAATTTTCACTTAACAACGACCACTCAAGTTTGGTATGAATTTAGCATGAATACAAAATGGAAAGATATGTAAAACCACTTTAGGAAATTGACCTCTTGACTCTGTGCACGGGGGAGGGCGTACAGACGTATTCTTGAATTCAAGTAGGTTCTGTCAGAATGACGGACGAATGAAGTGTGAAAACAGTACGTTGTATCACTGTCACTTGTGGAGGAAGAAGTAGGACTGAAATACTGGAGATACTGGCCAGTTATTGGCAAAGTGGGATTCTTGGTTAAATGTCTTAGTAAAACTCACATTTATGAATTATCCCACCTTTGGTCTGATTCCAGAGCATCATCTAAACAAGGCACGATTATTCCAATTAGCAAATATTTATTTATTTGAAATGGGGGGCTTAATGGTACTTATCATTTGCCCTTTAGCTGCCTTCGGGCTTCACAGAGGGGATTAGGAGCATCAAAGTGGGAAAAAGTGGAGAGGGGGGGGGGACAGAAGAGTGATTCAAAGATGTAAAAGAGACAGACAGACACAAAGGCAGAGAAAAGGTAGGATAAGTATAGGGGAAGTGATCGAATAAGACATACAGTGGAATCATGGTAGTTTGAAGTCAGAAGTCGACTGCCGGTTTATAGACATTTTTGCCGTATGAGAATACGTTGCCCAGAGTGCACCACGTGGAGGTAAGTCTATCGCACACCCCTCATTAGCAAATATTTACTAACTGGGTTATGAGGCCGGATTCCTCCCTATTGTTATTGGCTAAGAATTTTGAGCTTCGCAGAATATGATTGGTCAGACATTTGACGAGTCGATGGATGGCGGTTGACCTAGTATTCCATTGACTTGCCCGAGTAATAACGTGGGAGTGGTGGTATTAGAGTATAATCGTACCTTCAACCCACATCAGGGTATTCCTGCACTTTCCGAACGAATTGTTATACGTTAGGCGGAGTTTGCTGAAATAATGGATAAGTGTTGCGAGTCTAATGAGCCAACAAGGTTGTATTTATTAACAGAAATAAGCTTAATTATTTATCCTCTGGCTGATGAAGTACTAAGAGCGTGGAGAATAATCTTAGCCTCCTTTTACTTGGCCTTCGCTCTTATCTTAATTTATGCTGAATTCGACAAACTGTCGCTCAAGTTTATGTCAGTCGCTAGAATTTTTGTAACAATTTTGTATCCTTGTTCCAATGACTCAAAAGTAGGCCTTATTACGTCTTTTCTGGATAGAATTATTTGGGTGCTTCTCAGTCTTTCTGCTTTGGGGGATAATGGGACTGGTGATTTGGTAGTATGGAGTAGTCAGATGCGTAAATATGTCAATCGCTTCTAAATAAATGGCTAAAATGCACTTAGATATTAACAATCTCTGAGTCTGGAAATTAAAGAAGATATTTGAGAATTACATTTAATTTGTGATTTTAGAATGAGATCCACACCCTCCCTACACGAAGTTGTACGATTGCACCTTCAGGCTTGTCTGGGTGCACTTGAGATTACTTGTCCAGCGTTGACAACGTTGTGTGCCCCACACCCTCATAGAGATGCGAATGTTGGGAAATGGAATGCGTACTTATGGGTGAAAATTTACCTGTTTCAAATTAATCAATGTGTCTCCAATTCCCCGCTGATGATTCCTGCAAAAAAGTATTAGCCCTCATCTAACGATCGGATCATTTATTGTTTGTACTAACAAGCTTTCGTTTTTGGGCAGTGTTTTGAAAGCCCGAATAGTAATATTCTAAATCAAGTTTACATCAAGTTAAATGGTCGTATTTTGAGGAAAAATAAATGCTATAATGTTCAAGTAAGAACTCCGTACTTACTCAAGCCAGTTATCGTGTTAGAACATTTATTTATGCCAAATGGCAGGCTTTATGTTAGGTGCCATTAGCTCTTTAGCTGACTTCGGGCTTAACAGAGAGGAGGAACAAAAGAATAATTCACAGATGTGAAGAGACAGACACAAAGGTAGAGAAAAAAGAAAGATGAGTAGTGTGGAAGTGGTCTAATATGACATACAGTCGGGTCATGGTAGATGTAAGTCAAAAGTCAACTGGCGTTTATAGACTTTTTGCGTATAGGTTTACGCTGCCCAGGGTGCACCACGCGGGGGTAAGTCTATCGCGTACTCTTTTTTAAGAACATAGGCGGTACGATATAATTGATGGGAGATAAAACTTTTTTGTTTTATGTAAGTCCCGAGTTATTTATTAATGAGTAAACTCGGCTTCTTCTTTCTCTTCATAAGAAGCTAATTTCATGAATGACTTATTAACTGTTTGCATAAAATAAGCACATCTAGCATTTCAATGTCTGCAAATTGATTTTTTCTGAAACAAAATAAGTTATAAATAGAATGGTAGTCAAATTTGTACTCGATTTAGCTTTAGCTTGTGGGACACGTCATCGCATGCCTGCACGCCAGGATTGGGAGGTGCGACCGTACAAACAGTGACCTCTGTTTAACCTAATCCACCACTCTGATCATGAGTAGCTCCCTGCGTGTACACTTTATCCGCAATGTACTCATTGAACAAACCTGCTCC